TGTTCTGTTTAAAAAGAAAAAACATCTCACCCTTGGCTACGTTCTTCATATGTAACATACAAACATCTGTGACTAGAGGATTTTTTTTTTCCCCCACAAGGAACAAAAACTTAAGATTTCATGTCTTCAATTCTTGAGAATATAAAAGGCATGTAGAAGAAATTAAAAATAATAAAAATATTAATTGCCAAATCGATTCCAAGAGAGTTATATTGATATCACCATGTGCATTTTAATTGGTTCCCAATAATTCTTTCATCCCCTAGAAAATTCTTACTAGCCATTTCTTACTTTTCTCTGATGTACTGAGGTTTTATTATAAATGCTGAGCTTTAAGGCTATGTCTTACTGCTGTTCACCTCACCTCTGCTTTCCCCTTCCCTCCACCCATTGGGTAATGTTTATACAATGTAGGCAGCTCAATCAATCCAGAAAGAATTAAAACTCTGACATTCATTAATAGGGGAGATATTTTACACAGATGTATAACACTGGTCCAGATTCATTCTTGTGAATGCTATACATTTTTTAAACTCATACATGTAGACACAAAAAAAACCCCTAAGAAATAATGGTGAAAATTATTTCAAAATTAAACAACTACTACACCATAAACATGTTCTCTTTGATCTATGTCAAAATGAGAAGATACACCCTTGGGATTGTCTGCCTATTAAAAAATGGGAATTTCTTGCATTTTCTCTGTGCTAAGTATAGGGAAACTCCTTGCCTATATGATCAGGTATAGATTTCCTGTATTTTTAAAGCTCGTCTGTTCATATACCTGTGTAACTGCTAATATAGTTATGAAAATTCTTAATGCAGAGAGGCCATATATAATTGGATTAAGGGTGCTTAATGATGCAATTTTGCAATATGGTTTACTCATCCATCTGTCCATTTTTTTTTGTCATCCATTCCTTCTTCAAGTATTTATTAAGTACAAACTACGCACCTGACAGTGTTGTTGATGCTGAGAATATGGTGATGAGCAAAACATAAAAAAATCCCTGCCCTCATGGAGCTTACATTCTAGTTCCTCAAAAGGGATCTGCAACTAAGATAGAAGTACTCAAAACCCAAGAGGAAAACTTTCTGAAAAGCTCCCTTAGTCAGATACCTTAAAGGAGCAAAGGCTACAATAAGTACTGCATTTAACATTTGTAATGTGTCTTATTTTTATCAAAAATAAAAATCATATCTATTAAGTTTATTAATTTCCTTGAATTTATATTTACTACTTATTTTCCTCAATTTACACCTTGTTTATGATAAATTCCTCTAGTTCCTTGAAGAGAGTCAAAGTGAGACAATCCTTTTAAATTTCAAACCTAACTGATGATCAGTAGGTATGAATCAAGTGAGTGTCTTCCTAAGAGCAATTTTTTTATTATAAAGGATTTGGCTTCATAATTACAGGACTGTCTGCCAGCACTGCCTCTGCATGACTTAACTGCTGACTGGAGTTTTGACTGGGGATGCCAATACCTAAAATCATGTTAGGTATCGTCTTCCCTTTTTACTGTCCCATTAAATGAACATATGCTTCTTAGCATTAATATGCAGTAAAGGCTGTCATTAGAGACTAGATTTTGTCTGTCCATGGCAGAGATTACAGCTAATCTTTACCTGGCCCTACTGTCAGTACACTTCCTGCTAATGTGCTCTGGACTCTTCTTCCACTGAGCTCTCAACTGCTGCCTCTGCCCTTGCTTTCTCTGACCAAAATCCTTGAATTACAATTCTAAGTTCATTATGGCCAGGCCTCATCTGTTGTCATGCTCAGTGGTCCTTCATCTTTTCTTGGGGCTTCTCCCTCTTCATATTACAGCCAACAGTAAGTAATGTTTTCCACTCTCACCAGCAGAACTTTTCCACCCTCCTTAACTTTCTAACAGGACACTGGGAAAACAGTAAACTTCAGTATGCCACAGAGTGATAATGAACGCAGAGCCAGGAATCAGAATACCAACTTTGCTCTGAACAGAAGGATACAGAAAGATCCAAGCATATTAAAGGAAATGCCACTCTGTCTATGATTTCTGTATTTTCATTTCTATATTTATTCAGCAAATACTTATTGAGTGCTTATTAGGTTCCAAAGACTATTATACAGTTGATTTCTTTTAATGGAAATCCACCAATATTGCTCCAAAGCTGAAGTGGTAAATTTCTAACCTGTAGGTCATATTCAGTCTTTAGCCTAATTTGGTCTGCCTCGGAGAGAAGGATTGAGAAACAGAAAAGCAGGCCTTTAGAAGTCTTTGGAAGCAGTAAGATAGACTAACTCTACAAAGCGAGAAGGCCTGTATCTTTCTCCTTTATTGCTATGTATACCTCTCACTGTCTCTACCTCTTTGCTCTAGTTTTTTCTCTTCTTCATTCCACCTCATTTCTTTAACTGGCCGTTATATGGCAATGGGATATAGGTTATTTTCTGTATTTATTGAATTACATTCCTATTTTTATTTATTTATTTTTTTCAACGTTTATTTATTTTGGGGACAGAGAGAGACAGAGCATGAACGGGGGAGGGGCAGAGAGAGAGGGAGACACAGAATCGGAAACAGGCTCCAGGCTCCGAGCCATCAGCCCAGAGCCCGACGCAGGGCTCGAACTCACAGACTGCGAGATCGTGACCTGGCTGAAGTCGGATGCTTAACCGACTGCGCCACCCAGGCACCCCTTACATTCCTATTTTTAATTTAAAAGGCAGACCAAATTAACACTTCATATTTTTATCCTAAAACAGTCTTTTTGTTGCTTTTGTTTGGAGGAGTGGGGAGAATAGGGCTACAGTTCTCGAAATTTCTTTCACAGATTCTCTACTCAATTAACTCAGTAACTGAAATTCCACCTTGGCAAGCAAAAATATTGCATTAAAAGATAAAACAATAATAAACATTGTACTTCAAGAATCTACACAAAAAAAGGATACAAAGTTTATAAGGCATAAGTGTAAAAGGTAAATAACTATTTCATGAAGAAAGCAAATAAAAATCTACTCAGATAATTATTTCAACAAAAAAAAAAGGAATAGAAATAAATGCATTCAAAGGAAGAGTTATCATTTACCAATTTTTATACACTGAAAATAAGGATTCTCCACTCCTAAGAACCATTTTCATGCAGATTTTTATCACAAATTATATATTTTCCATTTGACAATTTCTCTCTTCAGTAGTTGCTATAAACTGTAAATTATTCCAACACTTAATTTCCCAGGATTAAATATCTTCCTAAAAACTCTATAATCCCCATCACATAAGAATGTCACAGTATCTTTTCTTTAGCACACAAAAAAATTATAATAATTATAACTTATTCTTTATTTGTCATCTTTCTACAGAAATTATCAAGATTTAGCCTTGCCAGGAAATTATACACATTATGAATACAAGCTTTAATAGACTACTAATCAGACTATTGTATTCCAAGTATTTCTATAGAACATGATATCACAAATTAAGTCATTAATTCCAAAACAGTAGTTTATTAACAAAAAAGTACAAAGAAGTACAAATGGACATCCTACTTTCCCCCATTATGGTCCATCTATCTATCTCCCTTTCAGTCCATGGCACAGCCTTCTTGAGCTAAAAGAATAGGCAAAATACTTCTCTTTCCAATGGGCCTAATAACCATCCCCAAACAAATCATTACGTATTTAAGTTATACAGTCAATGTCAATTTTTAAAAAATGTTTAATCTATATGAGTTGCTATAAAAGCCTCTTCCCTTGCAATATATCATGTACCTAAACTGAATGAAACATATCAGCATCAACATTCATAAATCATGCTTAGATACAGGGAATATCAGATCATTAGCATATTTGCCTTGAAGTAACAGATGACGAATGAAAGCGTAGAAGTGTCAAAAGGGATTTTCATAGATATTTACTAAAACACTTCAAGTCAAAAACATCTTGTTAACTAAATTGAAGTACATGGAAAACATTCAGGTTAGTTGTGTTTTTTGCACTGATTTTTAAATCAAAGCTACTCACATATCTCATCTATTATTTCAATTTTCTTCAGCAATGGTTCCTTTTCAATTTATTTCAATAAACCTACAGTTATTCCATACTTCTCGTTCTACAAGCCCAAAGTACTTCTCTGAATCACAGTAAATTCCCAATCCTTTTCGATTTTTCTCACAGGGCTACAGATGGGAGATTTAGTGAACTGCCATGTTCAGTAAACAATGCTCAATTTGCTCTTTCGGCTATAATTTTTCAAGACAGAACATGTGGATTAATTTACTGATGTTCCTAAAAGCCATGTGTAAAATTTATCTTACATTTTTTTTGAATGGGAAGCTCCAGCCTTTTAGTTTGTGGAGGCAGCCAGGTCAGAGCTTGCTACTACACTTTAGTCCCTGCCTATAACTAGTCTCATGAAGAACAGGAGTTCAGTGTTAGACTAGACTATAGTAACATAAGGTGCTATATCAGTGAAACACTTTTGGGGAACTGGAAAATTCAGATGACCACTCACTAAACATAAAATCATTATTCCACAAAGATTTTATTCACATCAAACTTGCACAGTAGCAAAAAAAAATCAAAACATAACTAAGCCACATATCAAAGAACAATATACAATAAGGATTTGAATTTCTCAATGGCATTGGGAAGTATTTCCATAAATAACATTTACAATTCTAGTGTTAGATCTTTCAAGGTGTCTGAAGCTTCACAGTGCTAGAATTGATTTTTATCAACACATGCAAAAATGTGCAACATAATAATTCATATTAATGACAGAAAAAAGCACGCCAGTTATTTGTCATTCCAGCACGGCCATGCCACTCTATGTTCTAAAAACAAACAACCCCCCAAATCCGGGTCCCATTCATTCTTCAATTATGCCTTTAGTCACTCTGCTTTATTATATTCAAACAGTCACTGTTAGTGCTCTTCACCACGACTTTCAGGCTGACGTCACTCCCTGCCTGCTGGCTGTCAGGACTGGGGGACGCCCCTCTCCCAGACTCACCTTCTTCCGGATGTCTTCATCGTTTGCTCCTAGAGAGGCATAGAGCTTGAATGCAGCCTGGCGGAGTTCATGAGCGTGTTTTAAGTCATGATCAAGCTATGGACGGGGAAACAAAAGGTATATTGCAACTCAGTCTACATATTTAATTTTCAATAAAACTATCTGAGTTGGAAAAAAATTTTAACCACTATTAAGATATTAGTGCTATCACTGAATTCCTGGTTATTTTGGGGTTCTGTTCACATAGGACTGAGCCACTCCTGTGTTTGTGCCAATATGACCTTGAATGCATGCAGTCTGCTTCTAAAAGTGGACACCACAACGTTTGACACTGGAATGGTATATGAAAGACCTTTGTGAAACTCTGACCCCTAAACAGCGTTCCTAGAGAGGAGTTTTAGTGGCACTGATGCTTGCTCACACCAGCTCTTTGAAATGCCCTCCTCAAGAACAAGGCACATTCAGGCCTTTCTAGCCTCAGAATACAGCTGGTAAAACTTGAGTGCTGCTACAGTACTTTTAGAAGGTTTTCTTAAACATGAAGAACAGCGCTGGCCCGATTTCAGTATTTACTAAGATTTTAGAAAAGAGGGAAACCTTTGTGAAAATCCTTAATAAACAATACACCAAGGTAATGATTGCTATGTATCTATTACAATTACCTGAGATTTATATTCGGAGGCTTTTTTGATACATTTATTAAAATTACTTACTGGTATGAAAACAATTAATGCTAACTTTACACATGTAAAGTTTTTAAATGATCAATTCTTCCATACACCTGTTTTGTCACTAAACCACCATAGATGTGAAATAGAAGCATGTTCTCACAACACTTTAAATGACTACAAATCGGTAAGTATATAAAGCTTATCAATAATGTACATAATTTTATAACTAATTCACCCAAATGACTACCACTCCAAATGAGTTGCCTTTGAAAGGTTCACCTTTATGCAATGATGTGTTATTTATAACATTCTAAGACCCTTCTTTGAAACTTCCTGGAGAGCTAAGTGGCATATTAGCTACAAAACCCTAACAATGATATATCTTCATCAAGTAAGAGTTTTAAGTTAATTGTTACTGACTGTGAAGATGGGGAAATAAATCCAGCTGGGTAACATCATTTAGAGTAACAACAGTAGTTCTAAAAATATTTTGATCAAAGCAGGCACTGATGGATTATGGGAGGAACTCCTCAATATACAACACTCATTTTGATGTATAAGTTCTGAAATATCTGAAGTCGTAAGTACTTTCTAGTCATAACATATAGTTAGAATATTGACTTGGATTAACATATACCATGAAAATCATGCACTTATTAACATGCAAGAATTTCTAACTATGGGTCTAGTGTCTATATTTTTATGGTCAGAAACCACTGTATAATCCATCATCAAAAACAGAGGAATAATCTTCTCTATACCAGTTAAATGATTTACACATATATAGGCCACAAGTTCTTGTAACTATGTTTCCTCACTCTTCTGTCCATCAGAGTATCCCGTTTGCCTTGTCTGGACAGTCAACTGAGGGTGTTCATGAGGCCATAGTTAGGACTTGCTCATGTATCTTTATACCAGTGAAATACTGTGTCAGCGTGAGGAAGTCCACAAGGGAAAACAAACAAGGTAGCTGGTTCAATGTAACCCATTACCTGTGCTGCAAAAACAATACCACTAAAGGAAGAGCAGGCACTAACTTTAATACATAGTGTACATGACTAATACCAGTAACAGTGAAGGTTACTTTGGGCCCTTTCTGAGACAGAGAAAACATAAACCCTTAAGAGTCCATTTTATTTTCAATGTTAAATGCCAAATAAACAGTTGCCTGCCAAATGAAGTTTTGGGAAACTCAGGGGCATGAGAAAGGTCAAGAGGAAAGTTTTTAAAAATTTACCATTGGGACCACTGGCATCAAAAATACAGTCACATTCATGAAACAGTACTGGTTACTAATTAGGAGACAATCAATGCTTTTTCTACCATGATCTCCTTAAAAAAAAAAAAAAAAAAAAAAAACTTTCTCTAATTGAATATTGTTCTCCTATGCTTAGAGAAATGGATATGACAAACAGGCTGAGAAGAACAAAGTCAAAAGACCTATCTAGCTATTCTAAGGAACTTACGGTTTGTGAAAAAGTTTGAGAAAAGCACAGTTTGGTTCTTTATAGTCTCAAACTAGAGGTTAAATAGTACTTTAGCTGACACTAGCAGGACCAAAACACAATATAAAACTGAAGCAAGGGAACAGAAGATGACAAAAGTTAGACAGTGAAAGAAAAGACAATGGCAGAGAGTAAAATAAGGCCACTCAGTCACCTGTCACAGAACACCCTTGACCTAAAGAATGAGAATATAGCAACACAGATGATTCTGGGAACTTAAACAGGATTAGATGATGTTGCTGTAATGTCAACACCCAGCTTAGATACACCATTATTTTTGTGTTTTAGTTGGGAATTAGGGACATAATTTTCTTCCTTCCTGATTTCCTGCTTAGTAAAAAATTTCTGGTAATTACATGAAATAGACTGGATTCAAAAACCCATAAAACATCATCTTTGTTATCAAAGATTCCTTCATTTAAAGGAAGATTCCTTTATTTAAAAGGGCTCTGAACTGTAATTATCAATTGGTTCAAAGTTGTGAGCAGTAAGAAAACCTTTTAAAAAATCCCTTGGCTTGAGCTGCTGAAAAGGAAAACAGAACATACCCTTTTAATATCAGTGATGGCACTCACTGAGCTGGGATATTTGAAATAATCAGCAAGCATGGCAATGAGGTGATCAGTTATGCTAGCGATTCTCTGTAGCTCCACATCTGGTTCAATCAGATAGGCGAGTGTCTCAGCTCCTTCAACTCTCTCCTCTAGTAATCTCTCCTTACTGCACATTCGAACCAAACAAGGCAGTGTCTGGAAGGTAGTGAAATTAATTATTGGCTTTGTGGTAAAGGCAAAAGCTTGATGGAGAGCATAAAATAAGTGAATCAACTCAACGGTTTTTAGTGGCAGTCAGGTTTGTTATCAAATGTTTGAATAAGTACTTTCACAGAATAAAAAGGTTTTTTTGGAATGTAAAAACAAAGTTCAGTGTATATTAATCATTTGCTCTGGCATACCCAATCTAATCATACAACAGAAGTGCATTAATACAAACTCCCATCAGGCCTTTGTGATGGATAAAATTGAAACTTTATTGTACAATCTACAAAAGACATTTAAGAATCTCTAATAAATCATGTGTGATGTTTCTGTTCCACCTATGTATTTACTTACTTAAAAGACATCCAGCAGTTTAATCAGGAACAACTTTGCCTTAGAAAAAGCATGCTATCTTTTCCTTAGCGAATAATATGGATGGGATGGCTTTTATTTTTTGTTTGGGGATCAATACCTACAGTCGCAAAATCAAAATACAACTTTAAAAATTCAGTGATCTTACCATTACTCAGATTTCATGAGTTTTCCTTTAAGTGAGTAAAATGCATCCATCACAGTTCCTAGGTTTTCCAAGTAACTCCCTAAAATGACTGTATCTACTAGTCCAATTTTACCTGAGGTCCTTCAAAAATCTTAGTGCTGGTCTTGGTAATTTATCTACATTAGGTCCTTGATAAGAAAAAAAAAATCCCATGTATTTATTATTTCTTCTTCTTTTTTAAATTTTGAACATGAGCCGGGGAGGGATAGAGGATCCAGAAGTGGGCTCTGCACAGACAGGAGCAAGCCTGATGGGGAGCTCGAACACACAAACTATGAGATCACGACCCGATCTGAAGTCGGACGCTCAACTGACTGAGCCACCCACGTGCCCCTATTTACTATTTCTAAGGCTGATGAACCCACTTTAAAGAATAACGTTGAAGTGGAAACTGAAATGCTCTAATTATAGGAAGCTTTCCTCCATTATCGTAGTCAACTCAACTGTGCTTTGCTCCTTCCTAAATTTCTACTGTATCTTTATCATAGAGTGTAGCACTTTATTGTTCACTATTGATTTCCTATCAGGCTACTGTGTGCTTTATAATACAACCCCAGGCTTCCAAGAGGAAAGCCTTATTCTTATTTTCTTTTGAACAATTACTAACATTTATCAATCCATAAATTCACAGATTATTGAATTAACCACTCACAAATACTACACAAAGAAGATGCTATTAAGATAGTTTACCAATATGTAGGAAACAGAGGGGTAAAGCATTTGAAAAAATAAACCAAGATTACTTGCATGAAAGCCCTTAGAATTTTACACAGTGTTGCTTACTTAGGGGGTCCTCAGATCTCATTAAAATAATTGAGTTGCTTCACCAAAGTCTAAACAAACATTAGTCTTAATGCACTTTAATCCTTGGGTTCATTTTGCACACTGAAAATGAGAGATCTCACATTCATAAAATGATATTTTATTTACATTGTTCTTTGTGGCTAATAAAACATTTAACATATTTAACATACTGTTATCTTCAAAATAACCCTGTGGAATAGACGAACAAAAATTATTGCTTCCATTTTCATGAGTCACCAAAAGAATAAGGGATGTGTCCAGGGTTACCCAAGCCAGTCGGTGGTAGGAGTGCTGAAATGAGACTCGAGGTCTTAGAACTTTTAGGGACAGTCTCTTATGTGGGTTTTTCTGAGTTCTAGTTGCTTTGGACATGTCACAATGATGTTGATGGTTTTCATGTGTTATTTACTTTTCTTTCTCATTATGTCTTTTGATTATCTGCTATGAAGGTGATAAAAAATCTTTATCTGCAGAGCTGGTGAACTGCTTGCCTATAAAACTATGTTGTAAATTTAATGAAAATCAAGGATTAAAATATATTTTCTATTTCACCTGAATTTTACATATTTTTACAATTTCTATATCCTTCTAATTTAACAAAAATGAAAAAGGTGACAGGAACGATTTCATTTTGACTCTTAAAACACATCTAAAACCAATTTTTGAAAATTACATGGCATCATATGGGGCACCAGGGTGGCTCAGTAGGTTAAATGTACGACTTTGGCTCAGGTCATGATCTCACGGTTCGTGAGTTTGAGCCCCGCGTCAGGCTCTGTGCTGACAGCTTAGAGCCTGGAGCCTGCTTTGGAGTCTGTGTCTCCCTCTCTCTCTCTCTCTGCTCCTCCCCTGCTCACACTGTCTCTCTCTCCCTCAAAAATAAGTAAATATTCTTTTTTAAAAAATTTAAAATTACATGGCATTTCATTAAAAAGAAAAACGTTACGTTTTAATAATGTTATTTTATGCTATGCACACAAACCATGGTGATAAATGTATAAAAAGGAGAAAAAAAAGGGAATACCAATATTTATATTCAACACTTAGGACTGTGTAATGTTCACATGTGTTTAGAATTAATTAGCTCACCTTCAATACAATACAGTTGTCATCTGTCCGAATTGCTCCAGCTCTACACATGTAAGTTAAACTGGAATAAGATGGCAGAGAGTAAATTTCTGCTTGTGTTTTAAAGCTCTAAAAGAAAAACTCCCCACCTTTAAAATATTATGGGTAAAAAAAATAAGACAGCTATTCTTATTTATCTTGAGGGAGAAGGTTTTCACATTACCTTATATGAGGGTCTACCAATTCAAAAACAACTGATAGATCTAGACAGTAAGCCAGATATTTTTCAAAAATACACGCAAAATTGTTTTAAAAATAAAGGATAAGAGGATAAGCTTTGAAGCTAGGTGCTGGACACAATGGAGTCCCTTATACTTGTCTCTATACCGTTTTGTTAAAATTTTCCATACTATAAAGGGGAAAGAGTTAAAAGTAAATATAAAGTTAACACTGTCTAAGATTAAATGAAGTTGGGATATTTTAACTCCAAGAAAGGTAGTGTAAGTATCACAGAAGAAGCACTTAACTTGTCACAGAGCTAGCTATCAGAAATTAACTACTAACTCTTCAGAGCTTGCCAGTAATGGTTTTGAGAACTGGGTCAATGATTTGGTTCTACTGAAAAACAATTTACCTTCACCATTATATCTGGCTTTGAATAAGAATAAAATTACTTGGTCCTCCCTAAGCAGGTACTGAACACTGAGCACTTCAGAAACTTAAATTAATGAATTTCCTTTTTGAATTAGATTCCTTTAGTAAGCTGAGGGGGCAGGGGAAGGACTAAAACACTCAATATCCTGGCTTCTACAGAAAGCTATTAAAAAAATAAAATAAAATTTTTACTTAGATTGTTGAGGACTGAATTGTTTATCTTAAGACTTGTTACCCACATTGTTTTTTGAAACCAGTTCCATGAGAGAATTCACCTTACAAATAAAGAGGCAAATGCTCAATTGCAAAGACAAAAAACACGCAAAAATACAAAATAGTATATTCATATTAAAAAAAAACAAAAAATTCACGATCCATTAGTATTTTACTGAAAATTCCTTACTCTCACCAAAATACTAGAGAGCCACAAATTCTTAAATACTGGAACTAAACAATTAATTTAGCAAAGAATAGGTGCTCAACCTATTAACGTACTGATAATTACAGAACTGACGTGTACTTAATACTTATATGAGCCAGGACATGTGCTAATAATAAGAACTTGACTATCTTATAAACTGTCACATCTCTATGAGAATTTTATGCTTTGTTTTTCTAAACTCGAGGAAGCCATATTTTATGAAATCATGCCTTGGTTATCAACCTCAACTAATTCTCACTCCATATTTTCACATCTTTATATTTTCTTGTCTTAATCCTTACCATAAATCTGTTAGTTAAATCTGATCTAATTGTCTTATTTCAACTGAAATAAGGAGAATGAAACAAAGTAATTTGCTTGAATGAAACAAAGTAATTTTCTGTAGACAGTCTTAGCCATTAATTAAATGAGTGTTGCTGCTCTGCATGCTACTAGTAAGCAGAGTAAAAAAATTCATGCCCATTTAATAAAATGTGAGACAATCCCATGACTTGCAAATTCTAAAATCCTGAAAGAAGATAGGGACTGGAAGTGAGCTAATTAGGCTGTTCAAAAATACTCTTAACATATTGATAAAGCACTGTCATTCTTCCCACACTATCTTGATTTTTTACCATTTTGCTGATGTGAGCTGCATCTCAATAGGTTTATCCCTCTGTAACATCTTCACAAAAATTTGTGGTAATAATTCTCCATCAACCAAAACTAGAAATAAAGCAAAGAACAAGAATTAAGGAATTCTTTAAATCTACAAAGTTCATAAATTAAATCATGTAGATGCCATTCAAAGTTCCAGCCTACCATTTACCAGCGTCATCGATACCTGGGGGTTTTCAAAAGCTAAAACTGAGAAGCATTTCAGTGCCTGCATTCGAACCTGTAACAATAAATAAACAAAAAAAATGCATTTATGCGTTTTAAATGTCTCAGAATCTAAACTCTTCTGAAAAAACAAAATACTAAAAGAAGGCCTCAAGGGAATAAAAATAACACCTGTATATCTGAAGAGTAGAGAAAGTTAAACTTAATTATAAAAAGCTGAAATTAATTTTGAATGAAAAGAACAGGAAAAAGTGGCAACTAAAATTCAGATAAATTCCTAGTCAAATTTAAAAGAACAATGTACAAAATCCAATGTTAGTAAGACAAAGAAAACTTAGTAACAATTAATCACCAACTGCCTTTCAAGTAGGGTACTTCTTCCCAAACTACAAACCAGAGAACTGAAGACGAGAAACTAGGAACAAATGAAAAAAAGTGTGCTCTTACAGTCATATACGGGATGGGGTTGAGGCAAAGAGAACAGAAGAAGAGGAAACAAAATTACAGTAAAAATTTGAAAAGGACTAAACTAATTTCGTTTTTACAACACCCATGAATTGTGCTACTATTCCTCATAACTAGATTACTGAGGCCAAACTCTTGACCACATACAGCATATTTTACAATTTGTAGGTGCTCCTATGAGAGCTATTATTTTTCACTCTTTCTGTTCAGTTTTCATCCGTCTCATCCTCACTTCCAAGCCTGAGTTCACATGTGATATTTTTGTGTGCAACTCGAGATTGGCAGGCTGGGCAGCTAAAGTGTGGGGAAGCCCTGTCCCTCACTTTGGCAACGACCTGCTGCCCTAGCATGTGCACACCTAAAATGTGAGACATACAATATGTCAGTGATACTGACAATGGAGCAAACGTTACAAAAAGCAATGTCACCAAAACCTTTTTCCTTCCACAACCCATAATCTGTTACAGTAGATAAGGAAGCTTGGTGCAGAAAAGACAAGAAAGAAAAGGAGGGAGAATTGAGGGAGTTAAAGAAGACAAAGAGGAGGGGCAGTGAGTAGCCACCCCAGCAATCGTTTCTTCGTGTGCCAGTGCTGACTGCTTCCTGCTTCTATGTGGCACAGGGCAGAGGGAGCAGCTCTCCCCCGGCTCTGATTAATTTCAAGCCGGGTCCATTCCCCATTCCTATCCTTGTGAGTGCTTCACCAGGATCAAACTTTGGATCTCTCAAGTAGAAAGAACATAGGTAGTAGCAGGCTGCAACACAGCCAAGCACCAAAAAAAGAGCAGATCAGAATCAGTGCAAGAGGACAGAAGACAAAAAGGACTACTGCTCTCTCTGCTCTACAACAAACTCCTGGCATACCAGCACTAATGTGACACAATTAGGACAATGCCCCATTATTTGCTATAACTTACTAGTTGCATAACAATGAAGTGACACAAGTTTTAACGTAACGTTTGATTATATAACGTGATGCTGTTTACCTATATATAAAACAGAGTGAAGAAAATTTAATTAGCAAGTCTGAAAACCTTTGACTTTTTAACCTAAAATACAAAACGGAACACATTTTAAATGTTGATATATATGTGGGTATACGCTGTAAGTTTCAGTCACTGTGGCTCAATCAAAGCCCTTTCTGACACAGCAAGCCACTGTTTCCACACACTTCAAGGCAACACCTCATGTGTGGCTTTGGCACCGACATCACAGCAGAGAAAACTGTAAAAATCAATAGCAAATCAAGTCACAACCATATTCTGAATAAAATGCAAAGGCAAGGGTGGCTTTTAAAATTTTTTAAAGAGGATGCTGTAGTATAACAATGCCCCATAACATTTTATTGATAAAATGTTATTCTTGGTCACAATATCTATCAAAGCACCAATAAAATAGATGGGCCTCCTAGATGAAGACTCTAGAAACCAAAAGTAAAGTATAAAAATCTGGCCATAATTTTTAACATCTTACTTTGTAAGATACTGAGGTTAGTAGGTGAGCAATATTCTGAACTGCACCATGGTTAAACAAAATTGTTTGATGATCTGGACCCTGTAAGAGAAGAGAATTAACAGTACATTAAAAAGAGTAATGATTCATTCCAACAAAACATTTACTTAAATGTAGAAAAGCACATCCGCTACAATGCAGAATTCTCAACTACCCTTCTCTTGCATAAATCCATCCTAACAAGGCAGAGTAGACAAGGGGCTGCCATTTCTTATGTCTTCCCAGTTCTGTAGAACTGCTGCTTCCTTACCCACCACCCCCCTCCCCCGCCCCAAATAATGAAGGGGACAAAGAAGCTACCCTGATAGGCACACGCTGTTTGCAGTTATTAAATAACACACTATCAGGGCAACAGAATCACTGTCAATTCTACATTTCATGTGCACAACCTTCCACTATGTCCACTGAAAATAGTGGTAATCATTCTTACAACTTTAGACTGGTGAGCTCATCAGAGGAACTCTAAAACTAATTAAGTACATGGAGAACTGGACCAAAGCTTAACTCATCTCAATACATCAGGAAAGTTTGAGTAATGGATGGTGGAAAACTAAACACTCCATACTGAGAAGTGCAAGTGTTTTGGTTTCTGTTTCTATCTGATTTCTTTTTAAATTTTTTTAATGTTTATTTATTTTTGAGAGAGAGAGAGAGAGACAGAGAAAGAGGGAGACCCAGAATCCAAAGCAGGCTCAAGGCTCTGAGCTGTCAGCACAGAGCCTGACATGGGGCTCAAACCCACAAACCATGAGATCATGACCTGAGCCAAAGTCGGCCACTTAATCGACTGAGCCACCCAGGAGTCCCTATCTCATTTCTCTTCTTAAATCATCATTTCTCAGCACAGGAAGGTGAAGAAATGGGAAAATTTGGGGGTTTTATTTTTCATCAACAATCTTCTACCAAGCAATTTACTGAAGATCTTCAAAGTGACAGAAGCTAAAGGTTTATGCAGGGCTTTGAGGTTGCCACAGTTCTTATGTGCTGATTTTAATTTTTTAATTTTTCAAAATTTATTTTATCATTATTTTTTAATGTTTATTTGAGAGACAGAGAAAGACTGAGCATGAGTGGGGGAGGGGCAGAGAGACAGAGGGAGACACAAACTCTGAAGCAGGCTCCAGGCTCTGAGCTGTCAGCACAGAGCCTGACGGGGGGGCTCAAACCCACAAACCCTGAGATCATGACCTAAGCTGAAATCGGACGCTTAACCGACTGAACCACCCAGGTGCCCCTAATTTATAATTTTTTTTAAGTTTAAGTAATCTCTATACCCAGTGTGGGCCTTGAACTTACAATCCAGAGCTCAAGAGTTACATGCTCTAACAACTGAGCCAGCCAGGCACCCCTCCTATGCATTGATTTTATGTACCACTCACCCATTCAATAATGAAGTCAAAGCAAGGATAAGGATGCTACTTCATGCTTATCATTATTCAGAAAAGAAAAACACAGCAGGGAAAGTTGGCTTTCCCTGGACTCACCAAAGGAAACCAGTTGCTAGTCTAGAAAAAAACTCTGAAGCCAATTTTTCCAACCCACTCTTTAGCCAAGTAACAACTATCCTGTAGATGCTCAGTCTTTCATGGACCAAAACATCCATCATATGAAGTGGGGAGATTAATATTCATTGCCCTAAATCACAAAACACCCATATTCTATTTTATAGGTAATAATTCTATTAAAAGAGCCCTTTAAAAAACAAAAAAACTTCAGTCATTTCTCTCAATTTCTATACATTTTCTAACTTCTCCTAATTTCTGATTATTAATTGATACATAATGTCCACACTTTATTCAGGCAAACCCACATTACATATATTAGGTACTTTCTAATGTCTCACTATTAAAAACAATGCTTTATCGAACTTTTTTTCTAATGTTTATTCATTTTTTGAGAGACAGAGAGCAGGGGAGCGGCACAGAGGGAGGGAGAAGCAGCTGTTGGCACAGAGCCCTATGCGGAGCTCAAACTCATGAACCATGAGATCATGACCTGACCTGAATTCAGAGGCTCAACTGACTAAGCCACCCAGCTGCCCCCATGCACATTCTTTCTAAGAGCTAGTTCATGTATGCAATATCTGTACTGATGAAGCGATATTATGAAAAAGATGAAGCACAATGCAATTTACTTAATATAACTGGTCCCTGCTGCCTACAAGACATAGTTTTTAAAATCTTCAATTTCTTTGCCCCAAGGATAGCAGCAAATAATGATGACAAAAGCAGCTCTTCCTCCTCTGTGCTTGTACATAGGATTATGTAAAAATAATTACAAGGAAGCAATTAGTGACGGAACCAACTAGAGACAGAGCTTTCATTTGTTTCTTATCAAGTCTCTCTTGATCAACCCATCCACAGGGTGGGAAGCAAATAAGTCACTAAGTTTTTAAGCTCCAAAAGGCAGGTCTCAGAAGTTTCGGAGTAACCTGTTTGAGAGCGGCAACAATTTAGTTCCAATTCATTTTACTACTCTTTTTCGCTCCTTAATAAATCAGGGAGAGAATTTCAAAGATATAATTAGGATTAGCTTATAAGACAAATGCTTTAATAATCCCTTTTTCTGTCTCCCCCTCCCCCAAAGTATGTAAATGTATTTAATATTGAGACCAGTACAGCTGACCCGTGAACAGTGGATTTGAACTGTGCGGATCCACTTCTATGTGGATTTTTTCAATACACACAGCACAGTACCATAAATGTATTTTCTCTTCATGATTTTCCTAATAACATTTTATTTGTTCTAGCTTACTTTATTATAAGAATACAGTATATAATACATACAAAACACAAAGTATTGTAAGAAAACAGCATATAGTACATATAACACAAAATACTCAACTGCTTATCAGAAAGTCTTCCAGTCAATAGTAGGCTATTAGCAAAGTTTTAGGAAGTCAAAGGGTATATGCCGATTTTTGACTGAGCAGGGTTTGGCACCTCTGACCCTTGCGCTGTCCAAGGGTCAACTGTATATTCAAATTTGTAAGTCTTAAGTCTATAAACTAAACAACACGAAAGTAAAAGGTTTTTATAGTTAATGACTATACAGAGATCATCAAATCAATTATTTTCAAAGATTCACATTACTAATCAGAAAAATTAACATTTTATTTTGGGCTAATTATCACTGGGTTTATAAATGCTATTACGTTTCCTAAAGTCTAGTTGTATCTCAGAACACTTAAATTTGGTCCTTTAATTACAGTGGCAAATGCTAATTATTATTAGCATATCAGCTAAAACAAAGCTGAGTTAAGGTGATGTTCTCTGATAACATCTTCAGTTCTGTCAGTGGCATGAGGATGCGGAGTGTAAGTTCTTTCCAGCAAAAGAACCAGTGATTTAATGGTATTCTTTCATCCACGATTTCAGCTAAAAAAGCACTGAGAAGTTTTAGATGAGCAAGCCTAAAAGGACTTAAAAGTTTCTGATGAGTCATTCTAAAAGCTATTGGAGGGGCGCCTGGGTAGCTCAGTTGGTTAAGCATCTGATTTTGGCTCAGGTCACGATCTCACAGTTCATGGGTTCGAGCCTGGCAGGGCAGGCTTGGGATTCTTGCTCTCTCCTCTTTCTCTGCCCCTCTCCTACTTGCACTTTCTCTCCCTTTCTCTCTCATAAAATTAACGAGCATACTTAAAAAAAAATAAATAAAAGCTATTTGGGTAACTTCTGGAATGGGATTATTCAAACTTCTCACGATGTAACAGTAATTTGACATGTAGTAGTTACACCCCCAGGTCCAACTTTCAGTGCCCCTTTGGGATTACTGTGGTTATAACTAATAGATGCTGTGCTCTCAAGCACTCATAGCAGAAAGATTTTTAACAAGGCACAGGAGTTCTGGAGTATCCTTCTTTACCTATCTTCTCGGGCTGGGTAGAAGACTTCATTTCACTGTTGGAAAATTCTACACCTTGTTGAGTTCAGCTCCTTTTTAGCAAATGAATTGCAACAAAATTGTCATTTTTCTCAAAGGCTATCTTTGCTCACCTCAAGAGATTAAAGGAGTGTTTGATATCCCTGGTCCTATGAGTTAGCTTACACACTGTCAAATCAATCTGAAAAGTAAACTTCAAAGACTTTTGATAAAATTCTTAAATTCTAAATGTCTTAAATAGAACTGAATAAGCTGTGAAAGTCAGCTAAGATTTGGGGATGGGAAGTGGTTAAACAAATAATAATGATACTTTTTGTGGAACCAAGTGATTTAATTTTCATTTCTTTGGGAAACTCATCTAAAATAGCATAGATCCGTGATCTTCCTAATTTTATATGTTGGTGTTCACTTCTCTTTCCTATATTTCCTATAGTTTCCCAAACTCTTTACTTTGTCTTTGTATTATAAATATAGGTAGGTGAGTAATGCTGTCCTGAAAAACTTATAGAATCATCAGGCAACAAAAAATTATTTGTTTAGAAATTAGCAAATGTGTAGAAATTATGAAAGTTCTCAAATAGATAATCACCCATGGCTATCAAAAGAGTACACTCAGTATATAAACTAGTAAGCAAAATAAGTAGCACTTTATGACACTGTTAAGTTTAGGTTCAGGCCCTTTTAGGAACAGAAATTTCTCTCAACAATTAGCACAGAAGAATCTCCCACTTCTCCGCATAGGAAGGACATCACTTAAAACAATTTCCAACAATGAGAGTATGGGGAAATAGTCATGATCACATACTACTGGTAGGAGTATAAAATGGTACAACCTCAAAACAAGACAGTAAATATATGGTAAAATTACAAACGCACACCCTTTGACTCAGCAATTCCGGTTCTTATAAAATGCTTTACACAAGTTATTTTTGCAGCATTGTTTTGTGATAATGTAAGATTGGAAACAAGGCAAATGTCCAACAATAGATAACTGGTTAAACAAATTATTGTATATACTATATAGTGTATACAATATAATTATTGTACATAGTATATAGTATTGTATATAATATTTTACTATATTGGACATACTATATACAATACTATATATATATATATATATATATATATATACCCAGTATATATGTGTGTATATATATATATACACACACACACAGTGTATATATATATATATATATACACACAGTATACTGTGTGTGTATATATATATAGTATTGTACACTATATACACACTATATATACATACATATATACATATATACGCACTATATACATACATACATATACACACATATATATACATACATACATATACACACAGTATATATACATACATATATATACAGTATATATATACTATATATATACACTATATACATATATACTGTGTGTACATGTATATAATGTGTGTATATATATATAGTATTGTATACAGTGTATATTGTATATAGTAAAATACTACACTACCGTTGGAGAAAAAAATGAGGGAGCTCCTTATGTACTGACATGGGTAAGTTTTAAGTTATGAAAAATGCAAGGTGCAGAACAGTATGTATGCAATGCTACCATCTGTGTCCCAAAAGGGAAAGAAGAGATATATACATAGGTCTGCTTCTTTATGTATGTTATCTCTGGGAGGATACACAAAGATGGCACGTCTTCTGAGACCATTTAAGATTTTACACTACAGAGAACATTTATTCTGGTTCTTACTTTACAGCAGTGTGAGAAGATCTGACAGATGTACTCCTGGGTGTAGCGGGACCTGCTGAGCAGCGCCATGAGATGTGGGATCACCGTGGCATCCTGCAGTCAAAGGAAAAGAGAGCACGGTAACAAGCAACTTAGGCATTGTGAATACCCCTAGCCAATTATTTCCATGAGCAGGTACACATGCAAGCTTCTCAGCTTAATCAGTCAATCAAGTCTCTTTAAGGAACACAGCAAAACAAAAACAACACAGTCCCCAAAACTGTTCAGGTAAAGGACAAGGAGAGGGGCTTCAATATTCATCCTCAACAACAAAATACAAGAATGGGAAATTCTCAATTTCTCTCCAATGAACAGCCTACATCCCCACAATAAAACAAAATCATTTCAAAAGACTTGACAGAAATGTGTTCTGAAACCAAAATGTGAATAAGATATACAATAATAAATAGCCTATAGGGGGGAAATATATAAAAATAACAAGCGACAGTTTTGATCTCTGAGATGTTGCAGTATCAGTAACTAGCAAGAATCAGTAACTAGTAAGAATTATGATGACTGTAGTTAGCTAATTTCAATATTCACAAGACAATTTATAAAATATCAACTTCTCACTTAGAGCATGTTCTCTGCCTACTGCTGACACTTAGCAAGATACATGATGGAGCAGTGAAAGAGAGGAGAATCTGCCCAAACTGCTGCAGGGCTCTCCAAGAATCTCTTTTTTCTTAGGGTGCAAAGGCAATCAAAAGTTGAAAGGTATTTGGACTGAACCACAGATGGAAAAAGAGACTTAGCTCAAGCCTCCTAGTCAATGCTGTCATGAGTCCTGGAGCTATATATCCCAAACATGAATGTGCATGCAAAATCCCAGGGGATATTCAGTATGTGCAGATTCTGATTCTGTAGGTTTGAAGTAGCATCTAAGCTCTCAGATGCAGCTGATGCTGCTGGTCCATAGACCACACTTTGATAAAAGACAACAGAGGGCAAAGAAGGCAACTTAAGAGTACTATGCTGGGGGACACCTGGGTGGCTCAGTAGGTTAAGTGCCCGACTTTGGCTCAGGTCATGATCTCATGGTTCACGGGTTTTAGCCCCTCATCGGGCTCTGTGCTGACAGCTCAGAGCCTGAAGCCTACTTCAGATTCTGTGTTTCCCTCTCTCTCTGTCCCTCCCCCACTAGCACTCTCTCAAAAATGAGTAAAAACATTAAAAAAAACCTTTTTTTTTTAAAGAGTATGTTGGCATGTTGGGATGAACAAGATTTGGGGTTTCCCTTAGAAAGAAAAAGAATGCCCAAGATATATAACAACTAAGTAGGAAAATAGAAGGCTGCTGATTTCCTATAAGTAGAATCTTTCCCTTGGCTTGTTAGTATAATCCTCTACATTATCATAAGCAGTTTAAAAACAAAATGAAAAATTTAGAAAACTTCAAAGAAAATCACAGAAAGAAAAGGAAGAGAGAAGATGAGAATGTCAAGCACATGTCTGTTTTTATGGGGGTGGGGGTGGGGGCAATGGTTACATTGATAGAAGACAGGGAAACAAGTAGCAGCTAAGAAGACAGGCAATTGAAAGGATGATACAAAAGCTTCTCTTAAGCTCCTGAAACTACTTCCACCTCCTTTCTTTCCTCCATTGTTCGCTCATCCCGCAGTTTTCCTGTTACACCTGCCTTTCTGCCAATTGTCTCACAGATCTGCAATTTATAGTTGATTAAACAAAGCAAAGAACAGTTGCATAATTTGCCCAAAGGCACCCATCTGACGAAAAGGATTTCAAACTAGACATCCTGTCCTCTTCTAAGTGGACTGCCTTGTTTTTCAGTCTACTGCCTGAGTTGCTATGCCTGCTAGCTCTATACAATCCAAATCACAGACACCAATAAATTACACTAAAACACTGTCATTATCCTATGCAACACTTTTCACAGACTCACATTGTCTCTGAGGCATAAAACTGAGATGTTTCATAATTTAGACATTCTCACTGTGAAAGCCACTTAATGTCCCTGAGCCTAATTGTTCTTATGTAAAAGTTAAGTTGGTATAAACCAGTTTTCCAAATTATGTACCATGATCCATTAGTGGGTCATAAAATCATTTTGGAAAATGAGGAGGAAGGAGTTAAAACTGCTGGCCAGGATCAATTCCTCACTGTTACCGGGAATGTAGAGAAATTTATAGGGTAAAGAAGACAAGTGATTGGTTTAATCTCTTTGTAAACATCAAAACAGGACCTTCAGGGAAAGTGACATTTACTAGGAGGAGAGCTCTTCTCTGTATAAAGCTTTGTGGAGGATGTCCCCAATTTAGGACAGCTTAAAGCATAAATCATTAGTTCTCAAAGAGTGGTCCATGGACCAGCAGCCTCTGAGCTACCTGGAAACTTGTTAGAAAAGCAAATTCTCAGGCCCTACCCCAGACTCACTGAATCAGAAAGTCGGGCAGTAGGTTCCAGCAATCTGTGCTTAATAAACCCGCCAGGTAATCATGGTCTATGCTTGAGTCTAAGAACTGTTGTACTGAACAGTATTGATTTATGAAGAATAGCTCCCTGAAGAATACTGCACAAATTCCTGATGTGTAAAATTGAGATGTTGCATAATTTAGAGCTTCCCTGCTGTGTGAAGTGACCCACGAACCTCACTTACAGACCTTATGCATCATTATGGGCCAAAGGAGCATGTGTCCAATGTGGGGAGGATGGACTATAGAGACTCATGACATTCCATCCTCCCCCTGCTTGCTATGCCTATGCCTCGATTGCTTGTATTTTTGAAATATTCGTAAAATGTGATTCTAGATAAGAACAGGAATGTGTCCTATCTGACACTGATTCTTTGTGTTGGCTCAGAGAAACACAACCAGTATATTTTTAAGAACAAGAAAGGTTAGAATAGAAACCAGAGGGCATCACATTTATAGAATTGTTTTGTGAAGACTGTCACAGGAATATTCTTTCTGTCTTCACCTCCTCCCCCCCCGCCGTCCTGCATCCCCTTTCTCTCCCTCTCCCTGTCTGTCTGTCTGTCTGTCTCTTTCTCTCTCTCTCTCTCTCTCTCTCACACACACACACACACACAGTGTGGCAATGGAAAATGCATTTCTTATCATGGACTATAGGTCAGAGAGTCTGAAAAATATTGGCCTGGATAATGTTCATTAAGAAGTCTCATGTAATCGATAAATAAACACCCGCTAATAATCCCTGAGGTTTTTGAAATCTATTGAATGACTCTAAAGATCTCCAGATTATCTCACACATGTTCTGATTCTAGCCTGGCAAACAAGCCTCCTATAGGCTGGTTCTGGGTCACCTCTCCAGTTGAAACTAACACTGATGACTTTCCCACATTAGGCTACTCTGCCCACCGCCCTGCATATTCTTAAACAGATCTTTCCTAGAATGGCCTCTTTCCTCTCCACTTCTCTAAATCTTATCCATTATTCAAGATCCAGGTCAAATTCTCTGTAAAGCTGACTCTGCTGGATTTAACCTAGAGTAAGTACATTAAATATGTTGTCTTTAATTTGGTATTAAGAGATCAAAATGGGTTTTTTAAACAGCTTATAAATTCCTTAAGGTCTGATACTATCTTCCACTTCTTTAAAAGATCTAGAACATCTAGTTGAAAAAAAAAATTAAAAAAAAAAAAAAAAAAGGGGCGCCTGGGT